GGAAGAACAATGTTGGAACAAGCAGAAAAGAATACTTAAATAGCTATAATAGCTATCCAAGGATGAAATAAAATCCTTACTATAAATGAAAACATTGCACTTATCAGCAAAGATACAAACTACAGAAATATGAAAAAAGGGCCTGAAGAATATAAAATCTGAAATTACAACCATAAACAAAATACCATTGAATAGGTTTACCAATAAATAGATGGGGCAAAAAAAATATGCAGTGACTTTGACTATAGGTCAATTAAAAATACCCAGTTTGGGGGCCAGCGCTGTGGCATAGGGCTAAAGACGCTGCCTGCAGTGCCAGCATCCCATATGGGTGCTAATACAACGTCCTGGCTGCTCCACTTCTGATCCAGCTCTCTGCTATGGCCTGGGAAAGCAGTAGAAGATGGCCCAAGTCCTTGGGCCCCTGCACCCACGTGGGAGACCTGGAAGAAGCTCCTGGCTTCAGATGGGTACAGTTCCAGCCATTGCAGCCAACTGGAGAGTGAACCAGCAGATGGAAGACTTCTCTTTTCCTCTCTGCCTCTCCTTTTTCTGTGTAACTCTCACTTTCAAATAAATAAATAAATCTTAACAAACAAAATGTCCAGTTTTGGGGCTGGCGCTGTGGCATAGCAGGTAAAGCTGCCTCCTGCAGTGCTGGCATCCCATGTGGGCACCAGTTCAAGTCCCAGCTGCTCTGTTTCCAATCCAACTCTCTACTGTGGCCTGGGAAAGCAGTACAAGATGACCCAAGTCCTTTGGACCCTGTACCCACACGGGAGACCCGGAAGAAGCTCCTGGTCCCTGACTTCAGATCTGCCCAGCTCCAGCCATGCAGCCATCTGGAGTGTGAGCCACCAGGTGGAAGACATCTCTCTCTGCCTCTCTGTATCTCTGTCTTCAAATAGATAAATCTTTAAAAATATACATCCAGTTTAAAGAACATTGATTATAATATATTAAAAAAAACTTTTAACAGAGACCTAGGGGCCTAAGGAACAATATCAACATGAGTAGGATGCCACTAATGGGAGTCCCAGAGATAAGCATCTCAGAGGCACATCAGCATGCAAACATTGACAAAATCAGGACTGATAATTTCTCTAAATTGTGAAACATATCTACTCATAAATTCAAAAAACTTAGCAAACTCTCCAAAAAAGATAATTATAATGAATACTACCTCTTTCTATGCAAAGTATAAGTAGTCAATATTAAAAATTAAGTTGAAAACAGCCAGAGAAATATTTTACTTTATGTACAAGAATCATGATTCAAATTCCCAGTGATTTCTGATCAGAAACACTAGAAGCAGTGGTTCAGGCAATGGAAAGAATTATTTTTAAATATTTGTGCATTACTATAAGGCAGGAGTAATATTTGCAAATGGTTATAAGGGTCATGTAGATAATGTAGATGAGTAAAGCAACTGTGGTCTAAGTGGACATATTTACCACTTGAATGGTACAGTTCAACTTTAGCTAATGACCATCTAACTGAAAATCTGGATCAGTATTACGATTTTGCTTCTCAAGAGAGGAGAGAAAGGTAGATTCAAAAGAAATTTCATGATTTTAGATACTGGTTCAAAAATTGTTTAAAATAATTTGTGGTCAGAGAAAATGTGAGTCAAATGAAATTTCAGATTACTAATATCTGATACTGCAAACTGAATCATAAATTGTGAGCTAGATGAAAACAAGCAAGCATACTGCGATTATTTATGTAAGACCGACCAATCTGTTTTCTACCATTTACTCTAGTGTGAGACTAATCTGAAAGAAATTATAATCATGATTACAAAAGCTAGAATTACTCACATTTCCCAGATAAATAGTGTTTGCTCCACATTATTTTGACATTAAAACATAAGGCAGAGGAGCTAGTGTTGTGGCACAGCAGGTTAAGCCACTACCTATATTGTCAGCATCCCATATCAGGTACCAATTTGAGTACTGACTGTCCCACTTTTGCTTCAACTTCCTGCTTACCTGCTTAGGAAGGCAGCAGGGAATAACCCAAGTACGTGGGACCCTGACACCCATGTCAGAAACCCAGATGGAATTCCTGTCTCCTGGCTCCCTCTTGACCCTACTCTGGCTGTTGTGGCTGTTTGGGAAGTAAACCAGGTGACAGATTTTTCCATCTCTCTAATCTTTCCCTCTCTCTCTGTCACATTGATTTTCAAATGAATCAATAAAATAAATATTTTAAATGAAAAAAAGAACATCACGCTGTTATGAGAACAAAAAATCACTAGAGTTATAAAAATGGTAGTACGTAAAAATAATCAGGTATTTCCTTCAGAGTTTCTAAAAGAAAAGCAGCTGGTGTTGAGGTTTCCACTGAGTTCACTTATCCCTGTGTAGGTAATAAAAAGCACTTGTTTTTGTTGCTAAACCCATAAATCATAAAAAGAAGAAAGAATTCAGAAAGAATTTCTGCACAGCTAACAAGGAATTTCATCCTCACAAAATACTAAAATTCTAAAAAGATAATTTATGTATTTCTGTCTCAACTATAATCTAAACCTTGAGTACATATTTATTTATACATTTTTGGGTCTTTTTGCAATGCAATGCAACATTTATTTCCCTAAAATACATACACTGATCATTCTATATTGACTGATTTCATTTTTTGTTTAATTTTTGGAAGTAAGGATTAGGAAATGGCCAAAAATGTAAGTTAGAAACATAGCATACTCATATAATTAATTGTTAAGGAAAATCTTTAAAGAGTAAGCTAAGTGAATAGTTTAGAAACAGAAAATACAGTTAACTATTTCTGACTACTGTTTTGAAAAGCATTTCTCTTGTCTTTTGCTCCCCTGCTGTCTCTCTGGTCTAGAAGGCTTCATTTCTTGTATGACCATTCCCACATACTACTCTTCAGTCTCACATACTCAGCAAGTTCCCAACCCATGGTTTCATTTCTTCTGCTGACAAGCACATTCAGAGTTTACTTTGAGAAAAGTGTAAATAAACCAAATGACTTCAACTGCTTCCCTTAACCATTCTAACCTGCAAGCATTTTCTCTTTTCATTTTTATCCTGCATTTTTTGGCAACTTTAACACATGTCGCACAACTGTTTCATTGAAACACAACACATAAGAGTTGGAACACATGTTGCCCTGAAATTGGATGGCAAAACCTAGCAGTGGCCAGATAATATTGGACAGATCACTCTAGCTCCTTTTCTTGCACAGAGTGATGCTGCTCCTAACCAATGTCTTTGCAATGGGAAGACGAATGACTTTATGATTCACTTAACTCACAATAAGTTTATAAAGCACATCTTGTCCTGAATTCTCAGTCCTTGTGAGCTATATAGTCCTTTTTTCTTTTAACTTTTTTTTTTGGTTTTTATTTTAAATGTAAGACATAAAAAGGAGAAAATTCAGAGTATAATGTTAACTTTACCAGTTTATATGCTTATATTAAACATAAAAAGATAAGTGTAAAATGATTAATCTCACTAAAGAAGTGGTTTTAAAACTGTTTGGGAGGCCATGGTATCCCAAGAAATTACTTTGGAAAAATAGGGGGAGAATGGCAGATAAGATTTCAGTTCTACATTAAGGTAAATAATTCTGAATCTTTCTGTTTTTTTTTTTTTTTTATGTTATTTTGTATTATTTGCATTGCTTGAAGAAAGGAGTTCATGATTTAAAACACAATGTAATAATCTCTGGTCTGATGGAAAAAAAAGGGGGGAGGAGGAAGAAGAGCAGAAGGAATAAAGAGGGAGAATAGGGAGAAGGAGGGAGAAGCAGGGAGGAGGAGGGAAGAGGTGAGAGGGAGTAAGAGAGAGGAAAGGGGGGAGGAGAAGAGAGGAAGAGGGAGGAGGGAGGGGAGGAGGAGAGAGGAGAAGAGAGGAGGAAGAGGAAGGTGGGGGGAGGAAGAGACAGAAGAGGGGGCAGGAGGAGGAGGTGGAAGAGGGAGAAGAGGGGGAGGAGAGAGGAGGCAAAGGGAGGGGGAAGGAGAAAGAGAGGTAGAGGAGGAGGAGAAAGAAGGAAGAAGCAAAATAAGAAAAGGCCTACAGCTGTGAGGAGATAGATACACTAAGAGGCAGTTAGGTCAGGTCCCTATCAGAATGACAAAAAGGGGGAAGTCTCTTTAAGAGTGCATGAAAATATTTCTCCTCAAAAGCTACCTTTAGCAAGACAAAAGTGTGGATCTCACCCTTGTGAGTCTAGTCCTGCCATGAGAAATAGAAACAGAAAGAAATGACCTATTCTACCCTTCTTAAGGCTGTTTCGTTTTATCTTGAGCAGTGCAACAGGATTACATTCTGGCCTCTGGATGGGATTTCTCCCCACTCTTTGCTTGTTCCTTGAATTGTGCTTCAAAGACTCCACCTCATTTTCTCAGGTCTGCCTTTCTTGGAGCCCCTTGTTGGCTGCTGTGGCAGAAGGTTGCTGTCCTAAATCAATCTTGCTTTGCTCTCTGCCTTGTCCTCAAGAGAATTCTTTGAGACAAGAACCTAGATCTCCTCTTTGTCATGTTTTCCCTGTAATACAGCTACTGGCTTCTCCCTCTGCTGTGGTTTGGCTTTCATGGTGGTTGACTGGACACTTAAAGTCTTTTCCACACCAGAAATGCATGTGGTGTGAGTTTGCATAATGTGGTATGGTGAGATTGTTGCTATTAATTATCAAATTCTATAAAGCATATGTATCACACCGGTTATATCACTAACAATGATTTGTGTAGAAAACTCAGAACACCTGGGAGTCCACAAATATAATGTGAATTTAGTAGAGACAGCATCTTACGCGTATAAAGAAATGTTTCTTAAACTTTCCCCTGAAAATACTGCCAAAAATTACCATGTACAAAGTAGTATTATAAAACAATTCCATTCTAATTTCTAATAAGATTTTCATTATGAATGGGGTTCTGCAAACTAATAGAATAATGTAATATTTTGCAGCTAAAATAAGCATTAATTTTATTCTTCATAATGGAATCCCGTTACTTAGAGGTATTTACATACCGGATCATCTGGATTATATTGAATAACGTATTCTATCTGTCCATTTGGGCCATCATCTATGTCAGTAGCTCCATTGTCTCCTGAAAATCCTGTAAATATTGTGGTGCCAACTGGGGTAAGCTGAAAGGGAAGCAAATGAAAAGCCGTCAATTTTCATTTAATCAGCTGCACATCAGAAGTGTTCCAGCACAAAGCCAGTGCTTCGTTACACAACCACAAAACTGAAGCATTTCAAAAAATACTTACAACTTTACATTTTTTTGTTTAACATGTGTGTGTTTTACTGAAATGCAGAGTTACAGAAAGAATGAGAGACAGAGAGATCTCCCATGTTGCTTCACCCTGCAAATGGCCACAATGGTACAATGGCTGGGGCTGGGCTAGGCAGAAGCCAGTATCCAGGAACTCCATTTGGGTCTTCCACACAGCTGACAAGGCCCCAGGTACTTGGCACATCTTCCACTGCTTTCCCAGGTGCATTAGCAGGGAACTGGATTGGAAGTGGGGCAGACAAGCGCCCATATAGGATGTTGGCTGTGATTTAACCTGCTGTGCCACAATGCTAGGCCCCATAGGTATTCTTTTAATGTCTGAAATTTCCAACTAGATTTGTGTAAATACAAGCCTCTGATTCAATATAAAGCACTTTTTTAACCAATGTATAGTCATTAGCATCTTAACACCTATGGAGAAAAAGCATCTGTGCTCCCCCTTAAACATTTTTGATGTAGTCCATTACCATAATATTATGAGGAAGTTCACTTATTTTTATATCAAAAACCAATTTAGAGACAGTAATGTTAATTTCATGCAAACGGCAAGTTTTAGGGAGAGAAATTGAGAAAAATGAATGTCTCTCAGAGGAGAAATTTGGGAGTCTCTTCAGTTCCTTGTAATCTTGGTTGAATAGAAAGCCATCAAGTGACAGGAATTGCAAAGATGGCCACATCTTTTCATTTTGGATGCAAACAGAAACACAATATACTGTGTGTGGCATATAAAAGTATGATTTTGTGTTAGGCCATTTTTAAATGCCTAGCCTTAATTCATACTCGTCTCCATTGCAAAACTACGTATTTTCTCTTCCTTGTACGTCTATGTATACTGTACTCTTAAAGAAGTCATTTTTTTTTCTCAATTCTCTCCCTTCCTATTCCTCAAAATTTATCTGGAACTGTACTCCTTAAATTTCAACTTATTTTGATGTCACCTTCTATTTGACCATGTCTGAAATGTATACCATGGTTTTTTAAGTTACAGCTCTTAAATGCTATATCTGAAACCCACAAGCTCAATTATTATGACAAAAAATAAGCTATAGAAAGCAAATTCCTCAATGAGCATGCAAAAGAAAATGTTTACACAAACAGCAGAGAAAAGGAAAGCATACATGCAAAGTTTACTATGAAGTATGTTTCATCCCAAAACTTGATATTTTTCCTACAAGAAAATTGTCTGCAGAATTTTAGTGAATAAAATAAAACCAATACAGTGGGCATGCAGGCTAGTGGTTAGGGTCTTGGGTTTACAATGCTCACATCCCACATCAGAGTGCTTGAGTTTGACTCTCAGCTCTGGTTCTTCACTACAGCTTCCTGCTCATGTGGACACTGTGAGAAGCTGCAGTGATGGCTCAAAGAATTAGGTTTTTGTTATCCACTTGAGAGATCCAGATGGAGTTGCCAGCTCTGCCATCTTTTTTGACAGAGTTATAGTCAGTGAGAGACAGAGAGAAAGGTCTTCCTTCCATAGGTTCACACCCTAAAGGGCCGCCATGGCCATTACACTGCGCCGATCCAAAGCCAGGAGCCAGGTGCCTCCTCCTGGTCTCCCAGGCACTTGGGCCATCCTCCACAGCCTTCCCAGGCCACAGCAGAGAGCTGGACTGGAAAAGGAGCAGCCCATAGGACTAGAACCCAGCACCCATAAGGGAAGCCGGCACCTCAGGTGGAAGATTAACCAAGTGAGCCACAGAGCTGGCCCCCAGCTCTGCCATCTTAAACATTTGGGGAGTACACCAGCACACTGGAGCTCTGTCGCTTTCTCTCGCTTTGTCTCTGCCTCTAATTTATATATAAAACCATATAGAGATGCAATCATATTACAAGCACCTGCAAGCAGACCAACTTTATATTCAGCACCAAGTAGTATGTTGTTCCCTTTGACTACAATGTTGAGAAAGATGAATAATCTCACTGGCAGCAGTGACACTGTAATTTTGAGTACCAAAGTCTCCTTACAGTTATGTCAGTTTAATATCTGCTATGGTCTCATGTTTCTACATGACAACAAATATTTGGGTACAATAATGAAATGCCGTGGAATATTTACACAATGGAATATTATTAAGCAATAAAAAAGGAATTAAACCCTGTCATTTGAGGCAAAATGAATACTAGAGGACATCATATGAAGTGAAATAAGCCAGACGTAGAAAAGATAAATACTACACGTTCTCCTTCATACGTGAAAGTTAAAAACGTCAATGTGAACAGAATTGGAGGACCTTGCTGAAGAAAAGCTGCTGGAGAAATGTCTTAAAGTCAGCCTTGACAATTGCATGTGCCAGTTTCTTATACTCATTCTTCCCTCACCTATTATTCTTTTACTTCTTAATTTTTCTTGAAGTACCCTTGTATGCTATAAAAGTAGTTACAGACCTGAAAAATCAAATTGTTCTCCACAAATGAAACAGACTTGAATTTGTTGTCATGCAATAACTAGTGTTAGATTGACAAATTCAGCTTTTTCTCACAATGATAAAGCCACATTGTCATTGAATCTTTGATTATTTATTGAGAACTTATTATAAGCCAAAGCACTGTTTATATGACCATTATGCCAGTTTCATATTAATCCATATATCTAACATTTGTTTTATTCAAGCGTTTACCCAAATAAACTATGCATTTGAATTCTGTCCTTAAAAATAAGAAGAATTATAATTATCTATTTAATATCCCAAGAAACAATAATTTACTGAAATATAATTTACATAAAAGAAAAACAGAGTACTCAGTTTGAGTATTGTCAAACTGTCAAACAATATTTTAACATTTGTTTGTACCCAAGAAAATCATTACCAAAAATGAAATAGAGAATATCTCTATCACTCTATAAAGATCACTTACATCCCTTTAGAGACCATCATGCCAGATGCAAGTATTTTTTTAAGATTCTATTTATTTATTTGACTGGTAGAGTTACAGAGCTGCACTGATCTGAAGCCAGGAGCCAGGTGCTTCTTCCTGGTCTCCCATGTGGGTGCAGGGGCCCAAGCACCTGAGACATCTTCTACTGCTATCCCAGACCACAGCAGAGAGCTGGACTGGAAGAGGAGCAACCTGAACTAGAACCTGGCGCCCATATGGGAAGCTGGTGCTGCAGGCGGAGGATTAACCTAGTACGCCACAGCACTGGCCCTATAAGTATTTTGTATTTCAACCACGATAGCTTCATTTTGTCTGCCTCTTTGGACTTCAGTAAAATGTGTAATCTTTTCTGAAAATTTTCTTACTGTTTTTGTCTTTAGACACATGTATGTTATTGTGTGCTTCAGTATTGTTCTTTATATTCCCTCTAACACAATTTTTGTACCTGTGTTAAAAATCTTGACTCCTTTTTTTATCATGAGATTAGAAAATTAATATTGAAGATAACTTCTGAAGAATTTTTTAAAAAGTCATGTAGAAAATAAGAAAAATATTCTTATAGAGAGTAATATGTAGCTCTATCTATCTTTACTAAAACCTGAAGAGCAATTTATATGTATATGAACTTATTGAATGAGGAAGCTGTTGAGTTTTGAGTACTTGAATATTTTAAAGCAGCTGAATGATTGATTCCCACTTACATGCTTAGAGTGCAAAATGTCGTCACAGGTGGTTCTATGCCTTCTGTAATCTCGCTCTTTTCCTCCCTTCCTCTTTCCTGATTCCCAGGGACAGTATGTCTGATCTGCTGAGGGGAAAACTGGGAACAGATAAGAGTACTAGAGCTTAGGCTTCTCCTCTATCTTCAGATGCTTCTGTGTGCTTCACATAAAATACTAGTGCTGTCTCTTCCAAGAAATTATATAGAGAGCAATGGCTCTGGAGTTCAAGCAATGTCCATGTAGCATGATTCTAAAGACTGTATTTAATTTGTATCAGTTATGTTTTATGAAAAATGACTTAATTTTATATAGAAGTTGTAAAGAAAATCTAAACAAAATGTGTAAAAGACTAAATGACTTAGTCTATGGTCAGACCACCCTGAATATGCCTAATCTCATTTTGTCTAAGCAGGGTTGAGCCTGTAAGTTCGTGGATGGGAGAATAAATGACTCTATATGGCAATATGATCATTAATAGAGTTATTTATTGTTTTACACATTTTATATAGCTTGAATAGTATTTCACTAATTACTGCCTGTTAATAAATAATCTCTACATATGTTTGGAGAACCCCTTGATTTTCAAACTTTACATTAATTCTTAAGTTTATTTCCAAAGTAAAGATGAGTTGCAATAACAGATGGCTAAACCCTATACTAGGAACTTTAAAAGCCTTACCACTCTGAATACTCAATGGAGGTTTATTCCATAGTTTTTGTAAGTATACTTATTTTGTAGTTAAGCAATCATTAACAAAGAGATTTTGCCATATGTCATAATTCTAACACTGGGTGGATCAGGTTTGTAGCATAGATTTTTGATTGCAAAGAATTTATTCTTAAAAACTATGTAAAATATTGCTGTTGAATCTCATATTAATATTAATAAACTAAGAAAACATAAAGGGGAAAGAAATAACCATTGGTAAATAACAAAACTCAAGTTTCAAAGGTAATATGAGCTGTTGCAATTTTGATGACTTATTCCATCAATGATCAATTATTTTTGGACAGAAGGAAAAATGCATTTGAATTATTTTACAAAAGAGAAAGAAATTCTATTTAGCCAGTTCTTACATTAAAAAAAAAAAAAAAACAATTTCACGTAAGTAATACTACTAACAACAGATTAGTTTTCAAGCGCAGTTTTTCATCATTTCCAAAATTCACTGTGATTTCAGTGTGTTAACCTTTCTATTCATAGTCAATCCTCTATTGCTACAACACTGGATAAAGCCTGAAAAAG